TGAAAATCTAAGCTTTCTCCAAGAGCCATTAATGGCTCTATCAGCATCTTGAAAGCATTAGGGGGCCTTAGAAGGAACCATCTTACTGAATATAAACCACATGTTCTACCCCAGACTTCTGGTCTCACTGAAATAGGGGCACCTATCTGTAGATGCCCACGTACCACCTCAGGTCACTGGGAGGTGGGTAGGACACGGCTTTTCTGGCTCTCTTCTGTGACAGATGAAGTGTTAAGAAAACACATTTGTAAGCTCAGTGTTGCCTCATGTGATTTCTGATACCCAACAATACAGTGGAGACCACATTATTATTCGGCCTTCTGACTTCCTCCACCCAGCATTTATTACAAAAAGCCCTCCACAAGGCCCTGAAAAACCTCAGATTCCATCTGACAAACTATTCACACACCAGTGAAGTCCTTCGGGGACAGAATGTCACGTGGGTAATTGGCGAGAGCCTCTTTAAAAGAGATTCCATTCAATAATGTATCATTAAAAAAACTTAGCTAACCCTAAAGCTGAGCATCAAGTAATTACACTCTCAATCTTCCCAATTGCACAGTGTTTTGAAAATGTAACAAATTACAACCAAATGCTGCTAAACCACATTTTGTTGGTTTTCTGGACCCCAGTTAAGGTGCTGGCCTTGAATAGAATGTGAAAAATCTAAACATTTTTCTCACAGAACTAATATAAGAGCATAAAGACAAAATATAGATGGGCTCATTGAAATACACACACGTAGTACCTTTGGTCTTTCTTCTCCCCTCAGAAAGAAGATCACTATATGGCCATAAAATATGAAGGTTGCTATAGAAAATACTACAGCAATAAATTTTCAGGAGAGAGAAAAATCACCCAAGATGTGATTCACCAAGGATAAGGCAAGAGGTCAGCCCCTCACACATGCGAGAAGTGGCTCGGGAGTGTTCCAAGGGCAGGAGAGTGTCAGAGGCCTTCACCAAACGCCACTTCTGCTCCTTGCCAGGACCTACAGGGTGGCTGGTGGGTGAGAATGCACACACATGTACTGACAAACACTGCTGCTGGAACCCTCGTAAATAAGGGTTCAGAGCCATTCACCATTTGCTCCTCCATGGGACACACCTTTGTTTTCCACACCCTGCTCTAAAGGCTGAGAACACAGACATTTGGCATTTAACAGCCAAGTGGGAAGCCATGATGTCAGTGCAAAGTACCGGAAAAATTAAACCACTCAAATCAATAAAAGAAGGATTTGCTATGGCCTACCTGAACATCCCTCAGTTCAGATGTTGAAACTGGGTAGGACTTCGAGAAGGGCTAAATCGTGAGAGCACTGTCCTGACGAATGTGTCGTGGTCCTGTGAAAGGGCTGGAGGAAGGAGCACAAGCCCTCTTCTCTCTTGGGCCTTTCGCCATGCGAAGACTCCACAATGAGGCTCTCAGCAGAGCAGACACTGAACCTAAAGGAACCTTCATCTTAGCAGTCCCAGCCTCCAGAATCGGGAAAAATAAGTATCTATGACTTGCAAATTACCCAGTCTCAGGTTTGTTATTATAGAAGTACAAACACTACTTCTAATAGTGAAACTATTAAGACACATAGGTTGCAAATGAGCACTTGATGAGTCAAATCTAACTATAAGACAAACCTAACAGCCAGACACTTATTTGGTTTTGAAACTGAATTCCAGAGGAAAACTATGAAATCCAACCTCCAGTACAGATTTGTACCCAGGACAAAATCCCCACACACCTATGCATGCCAGCCCTGAGCAATCCTGTTGTTGCTTGACCGGAATCTGTTAAGCTGTTAAAGTGGGCAAACACTTAACAGGATCAGAAGTTTAAGAAAAACAGAGAATAAAATAGAATTTTCTCAGTTTTAATGTTAGCAGTAAAGAAATGTCAGCCATGACTTAGTTTTATCAGAGGAATCCCATGGTACAGTTTGCAGGGGGCGATTCCAGGCCTAACTTCATAAACAAATGCAGGAATATGGGGAAGTTGGAGATAGATGAGATTAAAGCCTGAGTGTTAGGTGGGTTGTGCTCCACAAGTGTTTATTCTGAAGTAGAAGTAGTTTCTTGAAGAGGAAGGAAGACTTTTCTCTGAGTAACAATCTGGGGCAGGCAAGGGCATTTTTCATTTCCAGAACTATCCCCGCATCTGGAGACCCAAGCAGGCAACTGCTGTGCAGAGCCCCTAACTCCACCAAGACATGCAGCAGGGCCTCGGAGACGGCACAAAGGAAAAGAGGCCCTGCACCAGGACACGCCCTGCCGGAGCCCCAGCCTGTCCCTCCCCGTGGGAAGTAAGTGCACTCCCCTGCTCCACCACTCCGTGCCCACTTCTGTCTTGCTGTAAGCACTGGGGAAAAGGGAGAAGAACGCCACGAATAGGGTTAGGGATGCAGCTCAGCAGCACAGTGCCTGCCAGGCAAGCATGAGGCCCTGAGAGCGATTCCTGGTGACAAAAACAAGAACACCACAGATAGACGCAGGGGCTGTCCCACTGTGCACCTGGCCATACTGACTTCTCTGTAAAGCATCCATACAGGGTCTGGGGCAACTGGCGAGGAAACAAGACAGCTTACATGGCCAAGGAGACAAAAGTTAAGCAACAGAAGACATGGCACCCTTAGGGTTCTAGTCTGGCTCGGAGGTCTGGACCTAACAGCTGCTAGCTGAGGGTGAGGGTGAGAGAGGGAAACAGAAGGAATCCCAACACATTAAAGGTGTTAACCGAACAGAAAGGGGCTCAGGGAGCAAGAGAAGGGCCCACAGAGCATGGGGCGTCCTTAAAGCCTGGACTGTATCCTAAGGACCATAAAGATCCGCTGAGGGGCTTTCAGTAGAGGAAAACATCACATAGGTGTCAGTGAGATCCCAATTCGTCTCCGTGGAAATGGGTCAGAGCACATATCCTGGCTCGAGTGCGTGCCCAGGGAAGACAGACGCAGGGCTTTGCCAAGAGGAAGCAGAGAGTGAGCGTCGGGCACAGGTAAAAGATGGACCCCAGAAGGTAACAGGGACAGGCCACGCAGGAGGACAGATGGCAGGGGGAGAGGCATTGACGGGAAAGAGGTCTCTGCGGTCCGGGACAGTCCTGACACGGGTAGAAAACTAGAGGAGCCAGGCAGGCCATGGCCTGCAAAGACGCTTCAGAGGGGCCGCTGGGGAAGACAAGGTCTGGATGAGCCCCGACTGGGGCGGCCACGCAGGCGTGGAGGACGCACCTAAGGAGAAGAAACTAAAGCACTAGGCGCGGTTGTTGCAGAGGCCAGTTCACCTCCCCTCTGAGGCTGTGCCTGGAAGAAGTAGAGAGGCTCGGCCACACGGGGGCCACAGAACCGGCACAGCTCCTCCAGGAAGAGGCCTGGCATCTGCCTGACAGGAGGACACCAGCCATCCTCGCACGCCGACAGGCCCACGACGATCACGTGAGCAGTGTGGCACCTCCAGCCCAGCCGGCCACGGTGCCACAGGCACCCGGCTAGGGCTCCCTGGTCTCAGCCTCCACGCCCCACATGAGCGGCTGCCACACTCCCTGCACCGTGCATGCGACTTGACAGCCCCGCCTAGGAGACCAGAAGACCAAGGGCAGGCCGCTCTGCTCCCTCACACTTCCTGGAGCCACGCCTGGTGTGTAAGGGATACTCAGTAAAACATGCTTTGTGTGTCTCAGAAAGCTAGAAGGGGTTGTCACTGTTTTTGCCACAAAGAAGTGATAAATGTTTAAAGAGATGCATACGTCTGCCATGATTTGAACATTACACAATGTATATACGTATCAAAGTACATCATACCCCACACATACATATTATATATGAATTATTAAAATAAAAACATTTTAAAGAATGAATCAATCTCATTTATATAAAATCCAAATCTGGGGGCCAGGGATGTAGCTCAGTGGTGCCGCACCTGCCTTGCAAACACATGGTCCTGAGTTCGGTCCCCGTACCGTAAAAATGAAAGAAAATTCTGCCAGGCATGGTGGTGCGGGCTTGTAATCCCAGCACTCAGGAGGCAGAGGCAGGAGGATTGCCATGAGTTCGAGGCCAGCCTTGGCTACACAGTGAGTTCAGGGCGAGCCTGAACTACATAGTAAGACCGTCTCAAAAAAAAAAAAATCCAGCTGGGTATGGGGGCACACCTGTAATCCCAGCACTTGGGAGGCTGAGGCAGGAGGATCGCTGTGAGTTTGAGACCAGCCTGGGCTACATAGTGAGTTCCAGGTCAGTCTCAACTACATAGTGAGACCGTGCCTCAAAAAAAACAACAACAAAAAAAATCCAAAACTGGCAAAACTAAAGTTAAAAGTCAGCATAATGGTTAAATTATGGCTAGGGAGGCTAAATGAAGAGGAATAGCAGATATGTTTAATGTTATGTTTCTTGACCTGACTGCTGTTTATGTAGGTGTGTTCCATTAAAATTAATTGATATGTATACTTATGATGTGTACAGTTTCTGTACATATGTTACATGTGTAAATGCCAATATTCTCTTAAGTGGATGAATTGAAGTAATCAATGGTAGAACTGAACTTAGCTTAAATGTGAAAAGTGCATTCAAAGAGCAAGCTAAGGCAGGGCTGGCAAATGTTTTCTAAAGAGCTATATATAT